CACCACCAGATTCTCCCAGTGTGTCTCTTGGGGGGTCCAGGATGGGGCTGAATCCCCCTTTCTAAGTCCTTTCCTGGTCACAGAAGAGAAGAGAAGAGAATAGCAGAGAGTTGGGAGGGACCTTGGAGGTCTTCTAGTCCAACCCCCTGCCTAGGCAGGAAACCCTCCACCACTTCAGACAAAGGGTTGTTCAATTTCTTCTTAAAAGATCATCCTCAAAGATCCATCTCATCCTGGGAAGCCTTTTTTTTTTTTTTTTTTAACTATGAACCTTCTGCCGATGGTGCAGGATAATAAAAACAAGGACAAATAGGCGGAAAACAGCTTCTATCCCAGGACAGGAACTCTTTTGAATTCTGCTATATAACGCAGTGTTGGTGTGGTGTCGGGGTTTTCGGTTCAATGTGCGGAGGGTGAAGGATGTGTGTTTGTGTTTATTTTCATGGTCATGATGTGCACTGAAGACGGTGTTTGATTTCGTTGTACGAGGTGCAATGACAATAAAGGAAACTAAACGAAACTAAAACTTCCAGTGTTGGAGGATTCACAGCTTCTGGAGGCAAGTTGTTCCCCTGATGAATTGTCTTCCCTGTCAGGAAATTCCTCCTTAGTTCTAGGCCGCCTCTCTCCCGGATGAGTTTCCACCTGTGGCTTTTTGTCCTGCCCACATGACCCAGAGCAGAACGGCCGTAAGGGCTCAGCAAACAGCCCAAGTGTCTTGTAAGTTTCCTGGCCCTATTGTGAGCAGGGAGTGCTTGACCTACGACCACCATGGAGCCCAGAACGTCCCTTGCTAAGTGAGACATTTCTCAAGTGAGTTTGCCTCGTTTTACGACCTTCCTTGCCGCAGTTGTTAAGTGGGTAATGAGGCCGTTAAATGAATCACGAGTCAGAAGGTCTCCAGAAGGATCACGTGAACCCCAGGGGAGGGCATTGCGACCGTCCTAAAGGCGAGTCAGTTGCCAAACGTCTGAATTTGGATCACGTGACCAAGGGGGGGGGGCTGCTGCAATGGTCGTAAGTGTGAAAAACGGTCCAGGGTTGCATTTTTCAGGGATCTTGTAACTTTGGTCACTAAACGAAATGTGGTAAGTCGGGAACAGCCTGTACTTGGATGGGCATGAACTTGATGACTGGGTCACGTGCCAATTCCAAGCATACACACACACACACACCCTTCTCCAAAAAATACTCTTGCCATTTTGAATTTAAAAGCTCCACCGCCAGGAGATTGAGGTCAATCTCTCTCTCTCTCTCTATCTATCTATCTATCTATCTATCTATCTATCTATCTATCTCTATCTCTATCTCTATCTCTATCTCTATCTTTCTATCTATCTAATATCTCTCTAACTATCTAATCTCTCTATCTATCTCCCTATTTATCTATATCTATCTATCTATCTATCTATCTATCTATCTATCTAATCTCTTTATCTCTATTTATCTCTCTCTCTCTATCTCTTTCTCTCTCTCTATCTATCTAATCTCTCTCTCTCTATTTAATCTCTCTCTCTCTCTATCTTCTAATCTCTCTCTCTCTCTCCCTATTTATCTCTATCTCTGTCTATCTAATCTCTTTATATCTATCTATCTATCTATCTATCTATCTATCTATCTATCTATCTATCTATCTATCTAATGTCTCTATCTATCTCTATATATATCTCTCTATATATATACTGAAGGCAAAAGTAATCAGGTCAGGAGGAAAAAAATTTGTTCCTGCCCTGATTTTTTTTAAAAAGCGGGGAGGGGATTCGTTTGGATAACAGGAGCCTTTTACTTTTGCTCTCCTTGCTTGTATCTTCGCAAAATATTTAAGGACGTCCTCGACTTAACGAGAGTTCACTTAGGGACCATTCAAAGTTGCAACGCCACTGAAAAAAGTAACTTAGGGCCGATTTTCACACTTACGACCATAGCAGCTGTCCCCGTGGTCATGGGATCCAAATTCAGACGTTGGGCAACTGACTCATATTTACGATGATTTATTGCGTCCCTGGGGGGTCACGTGATCCCCTTTTGCGACCTTCTGGCATGCAAAGTCAAAGGGGAAGCCAGATTCACTTAACGACTGGGTTACTAATTTAACAACAGCAGTGATTCACTTAACAAACATGGCAAGAAAAGTGGTTAAATGGGGCAAAACTCACTTAGGGACACAAATTTTGGGCTCCCTTGTGGTCTGACCTGTATTTGGGTCCAGACTAAAAAAAAAATGGTATTAAAATAGTCCATCGGATTGAGGAGGTGTCATTTTATGGACGATGCTTTTCACCCAGGAGAGATTTTGGCGGAGGAAATCCATCTTGTACGACGGCGGCTGGATTTCAATATCCATTTCCGCTCATGCTTAAAATGCTTGATGGTTTCTTGCCGTGACTTTGCTTCCCGCTAATGAAATGTATTTCCATGCCCCAGCAGGCAAAACAGCCAACCCTCAGCTGCAAACATGCAGAGACGCAGAATGAAATAAGTATGATCATAAATAAAATTAATACTTAAATGAGACCGGGGACGTAATTGTTTTTAAATGGGCCATTTTGTAGCTGGCTTTTTTTCCCCCCCTCCTTTTCTTTTTGCATTCATGCATCGAAGGCCTTGGATGGATGCTGCGTTCTGGGCATTAAATAAAATGTGGTTTTCTTTTAAATTTGCTACCTATCCAGTTACCGCTGAGTCTTCTGCAAAACAATACCCATATTTTCTTAATTTTAACTAAAAATACAAGCACAGAGAGATCTTTGTCAGTTCTTGCAACAAGAAGGGGGTTTGTCTCTTTCAAGAAAGGAATCTGGTTTTCTTGACAGCTGGAAATACGGCAGAGAATAAATTGCAGGGAAGGGTCTTCAAATTTGCATCCCGAGAGTCCTTGACTTAACAACCGTCATTCAGCCCAGAATTACGATCGTAAATTGCGCTCATTGTGAAGCGGCTCGTCACATGACTGATCCAATTTTAAGACCGTCGTTAAGTGAAGCCCTTTTCTACAAGGGGTGCTGTTGTGGTTTGCCGGCAGCCAGTGCAGCGGAGTCGGACAATGGGGAAGAAAGGGGATCAATCCAGGTGTCTGGAGAGGACTCCGACGAGGGTCCTGCGTCCGATGCAGGGATGGGGCCAGGACCACCTGGGAGTGGGGTGCTGCCTTCGGAGTCTGGCAGCAGCGAGGCAGAGGAACAAGGGGAGCCTGTTCCCAGTGCGCCTGTGCACAGAGCTGCTAGAAGGCAAGAGCAGCTGAGACAAAAGGGGCAACTCAGGAGTAAGGCTTGGAGGTGATGGCCCCTCCCATAAGGTATAAAAGTCAGGCCAAGATGACGAAACCTTTGCAGGAAGCAATGTTGTTCAATCGGTTCAGAGTCATCGTTGAAGCTCTTTGTACTTCGGTTGGTTTTTCTCCTAGTTTATTTGACACTTCTGTTATTGGCAGCACTTCACAGGAAAGAAAGGTGGGTGCTTATCTCAAGGGACTGTTTGAGATTCATTCCCGGCTGGGAATGAAAAGAATTCCCAGCGTTGCAATAAAACAAGACTTGTTTTTAAAATAAGCGTGTGCGTAATTACGGTCTTGGTCAGAACAGGTGCTTTTTGACAGAAAGCAGGAATAAACACCCACCTTGGTGTAAACGACTTGACCAATTGACCGCCAGATGCTGCATACTGATGTAAATGTGGGCCAATGACTGAGGACGCAAAATGTGACCGTGGGGAATCGGCCGTCAGAATTTCTAATCTGGGTCATAATAAGTAACTTTTTTTGGCGGGGGGTCTTTTGCAATTTCAAATGGTCACTAATGGGGACTGGTCATAAGTCGAGGACATTTTTACCGGTGTGTACAGTGACGTACAGGTAATTCTCGTGCTAACAACAGTTCGTTTAATGACTGTTAGAAGTTATAATGGCACTGAAAAAATGACTTACGGCCATTATTCACACTTATGACCTTTGTAGCAACTGGCAGGTATTTATGATGGCTTTGTGTCCCGGAGGGGTCACGTGATCCACTTTTGCGACCGTCTGACGAGCAGAATCGACAGGGAAGCTGGATTCACTTCACAGCCATGTTGTTGCTAACTTACCAACTGCAAGGTTTCATTTAGCAGTTGTGGCAAGCAAAGTCTTAAAATGGGGCAAAACTCTGCCCGTTTTAACAATTGTCTCACTTAGCGACAAAGGTCGGGCTCAGTTGTGGTCATAAGTCAAGGACCAGCTGAATAGGCAGGCTACCTGGGAAATGTCTTTCGCTCTCTAGATCGGGATGGCTTCCTAGCCCACGTTCGCTTCTACCAATGGTCCTCGGTCCCCCTTTTTTCCGGGCCGTAGTAACTTCGGACAGTCACTAAGTGAATTTCTTTCTTTCTTTTTTTTTTGCATGAAGTTTTTCATTTGATAACATATAAAAATTTCATTTTTGGTTAAACAGCGTGTTGTCTGGGTACAAATAGTTTTAGTAAATAGTCATCAATATTCATTACATTGATATTCATTCTATCATCATCATCATCATCAGACTTTTCATTGTTCTTTTTCTTATATCTCCATGTTTCTAACTTCTGTTTTTGTTAGCTAACCATTGATCAAATAGGTCCCAAGTCAAAATAGCGAACTGTTGTAAGTCAAGGACTGCCTGTAGAGCAGTGGTGGGATTCAATTTTTTTTTTACTACCGGTTCTATGGGCGTGGCTTGGTGGGCGTGGCAGAGGAAGGATACTGCAAAATCCCCCTTCCCTCCCCACCCCACTAGCCTGCTTTCCAGCTTCATTTTCCTCTGCAGGGCAAACAAAGGAGACCCAGCCGATCAGCTGGGACTCAATGGGAGGCGGAGAAGAGATGGGGGCGGGGACAGTCAGAGGCGGGAGTTATGCTGGTTCTCTGAACTACTCAACATTTCCACTACCGGTTCTCCAAAACCGGTCAGAACCGGCTGAACACCCCATCTGCTGTAGAGCAATGTTATTGTATTCCCCCATTTACAGTCGTGTTTTTTGTTCGATTCTAGGTGATGAAAGCCCGGAGATTAAAAAACAGATTACGGGGATGAGGAGATTGCTGAACGACAGCGTGGGACGGATCTACCAGCGAGTTGGGAAAGAAGGGGAAAAGTTGAAGGAAGAAGTCCAGGATTTGGACCTGGCCTGGACTCCGCGGCTGAACCCTCCTGCGGACACCCCTGGCCACCTCCAGCCATTGCAGAGCAGCTCCTGGAACGAATTGCCTCCCCAGACCGGACACTATTCAGGGCAGTACGGCACCCGCTCCAAAACCTCTTTCCAGAACCAGGCCAGAACCCTGGGGACAAACGGTACGAGATATAGATTTAAGTTTTTCTACCTGTATGTTCTGACCTAGGCTTCCTTAAGGAGCATAACACACAACCTTAGTCCCAGCAAAGCCTCTTTTATTTCCGCAGCTGTGAATCACGTTCATTCACGGCCTGCAAGGCTTGGCAAACAGTCTTTCAAGGGGATGTTGATAAACACCCATCTTATCACACTTGGAATGCGGCCAGAGAACTAATTGTCCGACGCAGGGCAAGGCCAAACTTGGCACAGAGTCAAACAGAACTTTTCAGAGCTTGAACCGACCAGACGAATTAATTGCTTCCTGCAAAAGCTCACATCCCCTTCGCTCCTCTTTTGTGTCTTTATGGGAGGGGCCAATCATCTCTGAGGTGTGGCCTTACTCCTCAGTCGACCCTGTTTTCTCAATGGTTCTTGTCTTCTGGTAGCCCTCCAGAAGCTCCCTCACATCAGCTGCTGGCCGGCCACAACACTGTAAACTACGATTGATCAGAGTTTCATTATGTCGAGTTCCTGGGTCACAAAGGAAGACAAAATCCTTTGCTCCGGGGTTGGTCATGTGAAAACTCCCAAGCTTTTTTTTTTTTTTTTTCGTTACATGACTGGTAGTCCTCAGCTTGTGACCACAGTGGAGCCCAAATTTCTGTGGCTAAGCGAGGGATTCAAGCCACTCGCCCACCCCGTTTTACGGCTTCACTCGCCACGGTTGTGAAGCGAATCGCTCCAGTTGATAAGTTAGTCACCTGGTCGTTAAGTGAATCCAGCTTCCTCGCCGACTTTGCTCATCGGGAGGTCGCAAGAGGGGGTCACGTGACCCTGGGATGAGTCATAAGTATGAATCAATTGTCCAGCAATCTAAATTTTGATCATGTGACCGTGGGGATGCTGTGACGAAGTGTGAAAAATGATTCTCAATTAATAAAAATCAACGTCAAAAAAAATATATTAAAAATTAGGGTACTCCTGTAGTTGACTTGTTGACTGGGAGTGGTGTGGTGGCCTAGAGGTGGCGCTCTCCCCTCACAATCATGAGTCTGTGAGTTCGATCCTAGGTAGAGGCAGATGTTTCTCTCTCTGGACACGATGAGAATAGATCTGCTGAACAAAACTCCGCACTGGTGACAGGAAAGGCATCCGGCTAGTAAAAATTGTGCTAGCTCCATTCAGTTGCCCAGATAGACTCCACCCCGCAAGGAATTATGGGGTTGTTAAAAGAAGATGGTGATGGGTGACTTGTTGACTGAAACAACCTATGAGGATCAAAGATAGAGGGCATATTATGGGATGCTCCAGGGGGGGAGGTTGCATGAACCTCATCATGGTGCATTGAAAAGCTGGAGATGAGAGCTCTGAGGACACTAGTGGTCCTTCTCTGGAGATTAAAAAGTTTTTCCAACTTTGCCAAGTCACAGCTGCCACTTTGAACTTCACAATCTCCATCCTGGCAGGCGCCACTGGAAGGGCCATAAGGGCAAGACGGAGTCCAGTTTATATTGGTTTCTCTTTATTAGTTCTCTTTCTCTTCTTGAATTAAAGATCTAATTGCATGTATCAGTGCCTTTTTTTAAAAAAAAACCAATATACAGGTGAACCTCAATGTACGGCCACGATGGGGACCAACGTTTATGTCGCTAAGTGAGTTTTGCCCCATTTTACAACTTTTCCGGCCAGAGTCGTTTAATGAATCACTGCCGTTCAGTTTGTAATATGGTCATTAAGTGAATCATCGAAGTTGTTAAATTAGTCACAAGGTTGTTTAGTGAATCTGGGATCACGTGACCCCAGGGACGCTGCGACCATCCTAACTACGAGTCAGCTCTCCACCGTCTGAATTTGGATCCCGTGACCCTGAGGGAATGGCTGCAACGGTCACAAGTGTGAAAAATTGTCCTTTTTTTTTCAGTGCCATTGTAACTTTGAACGGTCACTAAACGAGCTATTGTTAAGTCAAGGACTTCCTGCGTTCCTTTCATTGTCCTAAAATAAATGATAAACTGGATACCCCACAACGTGAAGTGGATCTAAGGCTCTAATCTTCTTCCAGAGAAAAATTATTATTATTATTATTATTATTATTATTATTATTATTATTATTATTATTATTATTATTATTATTATTATTTAAAGTTGATAAATATGGATGATGTTAACCAAGTCCTGCTTTTGACTTAAAATATCAGCAGTTTTCTTTCTTTATTTCCCACCCACCCCCCGTTTATTGTACATAAAGGAGATTTGCATTCTTACCGATGCTAATGGCGATGATAATGTAATTCTCCCGCGTCCCACTGGGACAAACGAACGTTTCATTTATTACTATTTTTTCTCTCTTTGAGGGTGTTTGGACCTGCACACCCTCATTAGAAATGCATTATATTTGTCGCAGGGAAAAAAAGATGACAAAAATAATTAATTTCAGCCTATTTGGCTTTGCGCAAACGTGGCCACC